GTGTGTGTGTGTGTGTGTGTGTGTGTGTGTGTGTGTGTCCGTAATCCCAAGGGAGAATGGAGGAGAAGGGATTGCAGAATGGCCAACCCCCAGGGGGTGATTTCTCGCTTTCTGTCTCTGTCTCTCCAGCAAACGCACACACCTTATAGCAAAAAAACTCAATTAAAAAAAAATTTAAAAAGAAAAGTATGTACATTAGCCAGCTAGTAGTGTGATGGTTAAGGCTGCTGTATCCCACATGGATTAAGTTTCTGGACCCGGTAGCTTGAAAAACATACAGGGTGCATGTGCATGCATGCCCAATACCCTAACAGGAGAAACAGAGAAGGGATTGTGGCCTGGCCATCCTTCATGGAAGGTATTTTTCTCTCTCACATATGCACCATCTAGTGAAAAAAAAATTAATATACACACGTACAAATTCTAGCAGGGAATTAGAAGGCCTCTCTAAAGTCCACCAGTCTAACTCTTAGGGGCCTATGGTATTCCAGATTAAGAAATTTCTGACATGATAAACTCCAAACAAGATGTACATAAGGCTTGCAGGAAATCAGTTTAACCATGCTATATAGTATTAGTACCAAATACAGAATACTTTCTTTCCATGAAGTCTTATTAAGAAAGTTAAACTACAAATATAACTGCTCTCTTAATGTTATTATCAATACTAAATCAAACCAGATTATACCAAAACTTTATTTTTGAATAACGTTTCATAGGTACTAAATAAGGATTGAGGAGAAAGTAATAACTGAGTAACTATCCTTAATTTTAAAAATTTTACTGCCTAGCAGGTGAGACGAACATACACACAAACACACCAAATATAGATATTATGAGAGAGATTTGCATATGGTGACCATTCATGTACATAATAAAATGACTTTACCAAATTTTAATTATAAAGTAATTAAAATAAATACCTGTACTGTTTTTCCAAGTCCCATGTCATCACCGAGAATACACCCTCTTCCTTGGATGTAGTGTCCATAGAGAAACTGGGCTCCTTCCCTTTGATAGTCTCTCAAATATCTATTAATAGTGTAAGGAATAGAATCTCCTTCTTCAGATAACTTAAAAGCAACGGTAGGTGATGGAAATTTTCGGTCTGGGAAATAGGGTTTTTCCAAATCTTCATCATCAAATATAAAATTCCTGGGGTACTCGTTAACAGATTTTACTTCTTGGAGCCTTTTAAGAGGTATTTTCCTTTCTTGAAAATCTGAATATAAGACAACTGCAAATGACTTCCCATTCTCATCCACTATAATTGATTTTATGCTTGCTTCACAGAGTTTTTCATTATCTGGAGAAGGGGCGAGACATCTCTCTCCTGGAAGCCATTTGTCTACAATAATAAAGAAGAAAATAAACTTTCAAATTTAGTTTATACAGTAACAACCTATCTCCACTGCTATAAAAAAAAAAAAGTGCTTTCCATAAATACCTTTTCCAAATAACTGAAGCAAAATAAATTTCATTTATAACATGTCTAGATATTTTTCTAAAATACATTATTGGATGTTCTCTTATAATAAACAAAATAAAGAGTACATGATTTATTTCCAGAGATTCTTATCCTAGCTGTGTCATAACCTCCCACAGAGTTTTAAAAAATATACATGCTAGGTCACGACCTCTGGGCC